CTATTCGGCCGAATACCGAATACCTAAAAACAGGAGTAAGAAATAACAAAAACACAGTAAATTAATCATTCTGGTATTTAGATTTAATGTTATCGGGTTAGTGTTGTTTGTTTATATTTATTTATAACTTATAACATGCACAAAATAAAAAAGAAAATAATATTAGTCACATGTATTCACAATTTATAATTACAGAGATCAGCACACGTACACACCTATTCGTTCCAGAATCCTTGCACATTTGAGGGTCTGACCCTGCCTATCTTTCTTTTTAAGCGCTCGTCTTTGCTCTTCCCTTTCTCTTTCCTCTATCGCTCTAGTCCACGTATGCCTATGCATACATCATAATACTTTCGATTCATCACTTTTCCATCGTAGATTCCCCATTTTACAATTACGTGAGTTATAGCCTGGTGATAACAGAGAAATACTGACATCCTATCTGTCTCTTAAGTCACAGTTATGATTTCACAGATTCAAAACAGCTTGGTAGCCCGAACGACTCCAGGCTTTCGCCCGTGCACGCTAAGTGACTTTCATTACAAGCATTTAGCTTTCCAAAGTCTATGACAACAATTGTTTGGCATTCACGGCCGCAAATTTCGGGCCAATAAGCTGCCTTGATTTGTTCGATTATGTTATCAACTCAATTTCATATTTATTTTCACATTTTCACTTTGCAGTTCTTCTCTGTTCTTCTTCCATTATTTACACATGTAGGTCATTTCACTGTTATCCACATTTGATATCATCACTTATCACATACTGCCATGACACTTGTCTGTCCACTACAACTGTCAAGAATTAATGCGATTGGCTAAACGTAGTGACAGCGGGTCAATAGAGAGCAGGGTCCTTGCCGTAATGCAGTTTGTGCACCAATTTTCATACGTGTGTTAATCAAGCCGAATAGTTTGGCCAAATATACTATTCGTTGCAACACTAGTTTAGAATGTTCATTTAGATGGTGTCTAGCACCCAACATTTGATATAAACCTGAAAATGCAAGGGCGTTTTTAAAACTATTTATACCTCAATAAAGCAGGAACTGTGCAAATTGTTTATATACTATATATATTACACTTTTCTTTTTGAGTTTAGTATACAGAGTAGTATTGTTAATTCATTCATCTGATATGTAATGAATCAGTTCCATGGTTAATCTGATATTTTGTCTAATTACTCAATGTAAATTCAGAAAAAAGTGTTGTTAATGATTTTTTAAAAGTAAATTCTAATCACTTAGTGATTCTTTAATGAATTAATCCTTCAAATCTCAATTTCTATTATTTTTGTATTTAGAAATTTTTAAAATTCTATTTAAGAACATATGATACTTATATTCTATTTAATTTAATTTTCAGACATATCCAACAAATTCAAGCTGCATCAGAGATAAAACAAAATTATCAATCAGCTGAACGAGCCAAGGCAACAAATAAGAATGAAAAAGCTCAAGTGGTGAATAAACATAAGAACTTGCAAATAAAAGACCTTAATATAGAGGAACTGCTTAAAGATAAAAAACAACAATCAAACAATTTCTTTGAAAGGAAAATGGGATATAAGAAATTGGAAGAACTCTGTTCAAAGGAGCCATCAGAGATACTGCTGGCTTTAAATTGTCCTAAAAGTGGATTTATAAAATTGTTAAAAGAAAACAGCATTTCTAATGATATGATGTCAAATATTATAACAGCATTGGGAAAGACATCTAAAGCTAAGGAAACTGCCAATTTGAGTTCACTAATAAATCAAGTAGCTTCTCAAACTCCATTTTTAAATCAGCATTTACAGCTTTATTTAATAAAACAATTGAGCCTATCTGTGGCTACTATTGACAGCATTCTACAGTTTTTGAAAAAATTTCAAGAATTTCAGCCTGTATCATCTAGTGAAATATTAACATCTCTTATTCCCAGTTTGGAAAATGCTCTGGAGAAATTTAAGAGAAGAGGAATTTCTGTGCCATCAATTATTAAAAACAGCATTGAATCTCTGAAGACAAAGAAAGATGATGTAATAGAACAGTATGATGAAAAAGCAAGATACAGAATATCAGGTGATGAAAAATTGCATTCTGAAATGCCTCCTGAAGATTACAAAACAATACCAATTTTTCCAACAAAAGAAGATTTTGTAAACAAACGGCCATTCCTGCGTCCAAATATTGTTAAAGGGAATTATTTCAGTGTGGACCATTACCTTGATGTGCAATTTAGGCTCCTTCGTGAAGATTATGTCAGACCTCTTCGAGAAAATCTGGAAAGCTACAAACAATCTTCAAACCAGAAAGGTGCAGAAAAGAAATTTCGTGTTTATAACAATGTGCAAGTATTGTGCCCTTATAACACAGAGGGAGGAATTGTGCATTTAATTTCATTTGATGTAAAACCATTTTCTAGAGTCCAGTGGGAGGTAAGCAAGCGATTACTAACTGGATCATTATTGTGTTTTTCGTCAGATAATTTTGAAACTATGAAATTTGCAACAGTAGCCAATAGAGATCCATCAAAACTAAGAAAAGGACAGTTGGAAGTTCACTTTGAAAAGTTAGGATGCGATATGTTTTCAATACCTTCTTCAGAAATATTTGTAATGGTAGAAAGTGAAGCCTATTTTGAGGCTTTTAGGCACACACTACTAGCTTTGCAACAAATAAATGAAGAAAATTTGCCTTTGAAACAATATATTGTGCATGTAGCAAACGAAGTAAATGCACCAATGTATTTAAACCCTAGCAGAGAATATAATTTTCTGTCCACTTTTAGAAATCTCTATTCTGCTAATAACAAAGGTATGGTTCCTGTTTTAGATCCGAATTGCTGGCCTTCAAAAGAAATATTGGGTTTAGATGCTTCCCAATATTCTGCTATACAAGCTGCATTAACTAAAGAAATGGCTATTATACAGGGACCACCAGGGACAGGGAAAACATTTATTGGTTTAAAGATTTCACAGTTGTTGTTGGAAAATTCTTCTGTTTGGAATAAAGAAAAAAATTGTCCAATTTTAGTTGTTTGTTATACAAATCATGCACTAGATCAGTTTCTTGAGGGTATGCTACGTTTCGAAAGTAATATTATAAGAATTGGTGGACGAAGCAATAATGAAAGGATTAAACAGTTACAGCTCAGTCAAGTTAGACAAAATGCTAGACGAGAGAGAAAAATTCCTTCTCACATATACGTGACAAGAAGAGATATAATGGAAAAAATAGCGCAGATTAAATGCTATTTAGATGATATTCAAGTACTTTTAGAAAATAGCACTCAAGAAATTTTAAACATTCTACATCTGGAGCACTTTATGGAAAGAAGACATGTATATTTCCTTCAGTGTGGTCCTATACCTTCTTTAAGACAAATGTATTCTATTTCTGATTGGCTCGAACTCTCAAGTGTCGAGTTTGAAAATTTAGAATTAGATGATGACAAAAATATTAATGATGACAACACAGAATGCACATCTACAGAAAATGAAAATGTTGATGGCGAAGAGGATATTGAGTTTGAACTTAGTTTAAGGGAAATAGATGAATATGAATTCAAGCCCATTGATTATTTATTTCCTACTCAAAGACAATCTTTATTCAGAATAGTAGAGTCAAAGAAGACAGAACGTAAGAAGAGAAGATACATTAGTAAACAGTTAAGACACAATGACATCATGACCATTTCAGAAGTAAAAAAAATTGGCAATGTGTGGAAACTAGAGAGAGAGGATCGTTGACATCATCAATACAATGCAAACTTATTCATATTTTGAAAAATTTTACCAAGAACAGTTAGAAAAACTTCAAGAATTGCGCATGGTAGAAGACAAATCTTTACTACATCAAGCAAACATAATAGGTATGACAACAACAGGCGCAGGTAAATATCACGAGCTCCTTCAAGATTTACAGCCTTGCATTGTTATTGTTGAAGAGGCTGCAGAAGTGTTAGAAGCTCATATAGTAACTTCTCTTACAGAGAACACTAAACATCTTATTCTCATTGGAGATCATCAGCAACTGCGACCATCTCCAACAGTGTATGAACTTGCAGTACGATATTCATTGGATGTTTCACTATTTGAAAGAATGATTAAAAATGGAATGCCTTATCGTCGGCTTACATTACAGCATCGGATGCGTCCAAGCATTGCAAAACTACTAACTCCTAGTATTTATCCTGATTTACAAAATGACACTTCTGTAGAAAAATATGAAAATATTTTAGGAGTTGGTAGTAATATGTTTTTCATTAATCACTGTCGTCATGAAAGTGACGTTATTGATACTAGAAGCCATAGCAATATACATGAAGCAAAATTTCTTGTAGAGTTATGTTTGTTTTTCAAACTTCAAGGTTACAAATCGTCTCAGATTACAGTTTTAACTACTTACAGTGGTCAGCTTTTTACACTGAAGAGACTAATGAAAGGGAACGAACAGTTAAACGATATTCGAGTGACTGTAGTTGACAACTTCCAGGGTGAAGAAAACGATATAATATTAATATCTTTTGTAAGAAGTAATGAAGAAGGGAGTATTGGATTCCTAAAAACTTCAAATAGAGTCTGTGTAGCTCTTTCAAGAGCAAAAAAAGGTTTATTTTGTATTGGAAATTTTCAGTTACTTGCCGAAAAAAGCGATTTATGGAAAAATATCACAAAAGAACTCGAGCAGCAAAATGCCATTGGAACTTCTTTGAGTTTAAATTGTCAGAATCATCCAGAATATGTTGTAAATGTTTCTGAACCAGAAGATTTTAAGAAAAAGCTTCCAGATGGTGGCTGTATAAAACCTTGTAATTTTAGAATGGAATGTGGTCATTCCTGTATAAGAACATGCCATAGTTTTGATCGTGAACATACAGAATTAAAATGTAAAAAACCTTGTAAACAATTATTATGTTCTTTGGGACATGAATGTCAAAAACTGTGCTATGAAAAATGTGGCAAGTGCACAGTTCCAACAAAAAAAATAATACCGAGTTGCCAGCATGAAAATTTGATCCCATGCCATGTAGAAGCTGAAAATTTTCGTTGCAAACATAAATGTGATAAAGTATTGAATTGTGGTCATATTTGCTTAAAATCATGTTCACAGTCATGTGATCCATGTACAGCTAAAATAGAAAAAGTTTTTGATTGTGGTCATAGGATCAATGTACTTTGCCACAAAGCTGATTCTGTCAATATTTGTAACAAAGCGTGTGGAAGAAGTTTGCTGTGTGGTCATAAATGCAAGAAATCTTGTGGAATTACTCCTTGTCCTCCATGTGAAACATTAACAAAAATCACACTTTCCTGCAATCATCAGATTGAAATAAAATGTTATGAATATGAACTGAAACAATTCTCTTGTGAACAAGCTTGTGGAAAGAATATGGCATGTGGACATGAATGTAAAGTGATATGTGGTCACCAGGGATTATGCGAGTCATGTGATGAGAAATGTGATAAGGTTCTTGAATGTGGACATTTGTGTTCATTAAAGTGTGAAGAAACATGTCCCGTAATGTGTAAAACATGCAAGGTAATCAATGAGATTAATCAGAGAAAAAGTTTGTTACCCTTTAAACATGGTAATTTTGACAGAGACAATAAATATGATAATTTTGACAGCGACTATGAATATGATTCAGATTCAGTTGATATCTGGTTCTGAATATTAGAAAAAAACTTTCATACTGCTGATTTTTCTGTTCAAAGTTTTTATGCAAGTGTCATGCTAAGGCAACATGATTTAATTATTCTAAATAAAACTTGTTCAAATGTTATCTACATTGTGTGTAAAATTATTTTAAAATATTTGAAACTATTAGAAATTACAAAATATTTATTAAAAAATATAATACAATTATCACTATTATATTATAGTCAGTATTGAGGAATTTCATACAAAGAAAGTTATCATCTTATATTTTACAGCTGTAGTAAAAACAAATTTAAACCAATTTACAAAAACCACACACAATTTTCCTTTAAATAAAAGTATGTTTACTCAAAGTCTTAAGAAAATTAATCTTGATTCATATCATTTGTATTTACCTCGGAATCCTTTCTATTGGAATTATCGGAACTATGCACCTGAACAAATTCGTTATTTTGATTCTGATATTTTAAACCCGTCCTGAATCCGAGAATTTTTACGTAATTTGCAGGTACCAATCCCACTTTTTTCCCATCAGTACTTGCTAATAACAAGCCCTTGACTTTTGGTTGTAAATCTTGAAATGTAAAAAAAAATTTTTTTAATATAACAGAATGAATTGCAGATTTAAGAAAAATTGTACTTTGTATATTTATAGAAATTAGATATTAATGTATAAGATTGATAAACGTTTTTAATATTGCACCATTTTAAGCAGTAAAACCTGTCTAAGTAGAAAGTGACTGTCAGCCAGAAGTTTTTGTTTTATATGGAATTCTTTTTATTAATGCAGAAAATAGTTGAGAAAAAACATTACCTTGGAAGAAGAAGCAATTTTAATGTCTTTGAAATGTAAAACAAATTTCCATTATAAGGCAGATAAAATTAAAATCTGCTACTATATACCATGTATTCAGTACTAATTAAATCATAAAGCTAGATTTACCTTTTCAATTTTTTCTCTGTAATTATGAAGAGCAATTATTTTCGTAGGCAATATAAGAATTAGTTTTTGTTATTCCTCATGTTAGAGGTAACACTAGTTTGTATTCCTACGTGTATTACTAAGTTAGTCTTTTGTAGTTTCAGGTATAGCATGAAAATATATTGTGTCATGAATTTTAAGTTATGAAAATGTTCTTCAATCTAAATTACAATTGAAGGACAAAAGTCCTGCAACAAGCAATTCTTTTGAAACTCAGTAACTTTTTTATATGGCAACAAATTAATCAAATTTACATTAAAATAGGAAAGACATTCTTTTCTTTTTAAAATACCACTAATTTTATTTTGAAATTATTTATTTTCACAGTGCAATACAAAAGTAAACATATCAAGACAAAAATCCTGCAACTTTGATTTTAGTATTGTATGGATCCACCTTTGATGTTTAAAACTGCTTTACTTCTTTGTGTCATGGAATGAATAAACCTCACATTCTTGGGCAGTAATTTCATTCCTTACTAGATGTATGTTTTTGTCTAAATCTTTGAAAAACATATTTTAAATTTAAATTATATTTTCACTTTATCTCACATTTTTTTCTATGGGATTAAAGTCTAGTAAATTGCCAGACTAGTAAGTCTAGTAAATTGAGATTAAAAAGGAACTTATTATGAAGCACCAAAGCAGTACTTGTGTGACTTATCTGATGGCTATGATGTTTAAGTTGACAGTGTGCACCATTCCTAAGAACAAGGAGCAATAAAAGCAGCATAATGTTGACCAGGAATTTTTTTCAATCTCTTCAACAAACGCAAACTCCTCCTATTGTGGATAAATGAGAAGCAATTGGCTGGCAATAATCAGCCAACTGCTTCTCATTTAGCATCAATCATCTCTGAGGATTATTTGTGAGAAAGTCAAGCAGCTTATACTGACATTAGTAAGGACTGTTTGTGTCCCATTTCTTAAAGTACATTAAATGCAATTTTGATTTCATTATACAACAGTATTTATGTATTTTGTTTGTGAAATGGGTATTGTTTAGAGTCTGGGAATGGATTAATCCATTTTCCATTATTTCTAATAGGGAAACTTTATTCAGAGTTTGAACGAACTCCTGAAACAAATTAACAATTAAATTGTAAGGAAGAAACCAATCAATAGGTTTCTTTCTCACAATTTGTTAATTTGTTTCAGGAATTTTTTAGCAAAATTTGACAATTTTTATATTGTTCTCTAAATTGAAGANTTTTTTTAAAGTAAAATCATTAAGTGCAGCATTTAAAATTTCATTTGCCTGAAGATGATAAACATAAGTTCATTGAAAGTGCTAGAGAAAATAAAAAACTGTTAATGCTGCACTTAGTGTATATTTTTACTTTCTACGTGATATCTGGTGTGATGTACAAGTTGTATCATGAGTTAAATACTGAGAAATGGAAAATAATTGTTTTGGAAATTTCACATCCCTGTTCACTTGCTTTCAATTTTACAGTCTGTGCCAAAATTTTCTGAACTGATTTAATAATTTATGAAAAGCTGGCTCAATCTGTTGATAAAGCACTGTTGAATGTTTGAAGCACTTAATGACAAAAACTCAAAACTTAACAGTACAGTGTTATCTTGTATTGCAAGTTTCAAGTTTTTGCTTGAATGCTAATTCAAGAGAAATTCAATCTGGAGTTCAAATGATGCTTCTATGTTAAAACTGCATGCATAGTAAAAAAGATAGGTTTACTTTGTAAATATAATGTCTTGAGCACCCAAAATTGTCTTGATCTTGCTGTGAAAGCATTTCTTGCATTATGCTTGTGTGTTTTCAGTGCTTTTTTGCTTTATTTTTGATGTATTTGGTTATACAGATAACTTTCCTCTTACATTTCATTGCTTCCACACTCTTCTTGGAGGCCATAATTAATAAGTAGAGGTTATGTAGTATTGATGATTGAGATGAAAAAGGAACTTATTATGAAGCACCAAAGCAGTACATGTGTGACTGATCTGGTGGCTATGATGTTTAAGATGTTGAAGTTGACAGTGTGCACCATTCCTAAGAACAAGGAGCAATAAAAGCAGCATAATGTTAACCTTCAGGAGTTTTTTCAATCTCTTCAACAAATGCAAACTTCTAGTGTGGATAAATGAGAAGCAATTGGCTGGCGATAACCAGCCAATTGCTTCTCATTTAGCATCAATCATCTCTCAGAGGATTATTTGTGAGAAAGTGAAGCAGCTTATACTGACATTAGTGAGGACTGTTGTCCCATTTCTTAAAGTACATTAAATGAAATTTTGATTTCATTATACAGTATTTATGTATTTTGTTTGTGAAACGGGTATTGTTTAGAGTTATTTCTAATACGGAAACTTTATTCAGAGTTTGAACAAACTCCTGAAACAAATTAACAATTAAATTGTAAGGAAGAAACCAATCAATAGGTTTCTTTCTCACAATTTGTTAATTTGTTTCAGGAATTTTTTTTTATCAAAATTTGACAATTTTTATATTGTTCTCTAAATTGAAGGCATTCAAAAAAACTAAAACAGATTTCTGGCAATGCTTGATAAGCTTTATGATAATTGTAGTAAGTATATTGCTACAGATTAGAACATATTTCAAACAATATGTGATAAAGAATTTAATTACAAGTAATCTTCAGCTTAAGAATTCCAGAATGGAATAGTGGTAATATAGTTTCCAAAGCTGCATTACAGAATTAAGCCTGTGTACATCCTTGGGAATCCAACACACTATTGCATATTGAATATCATAAACAAATAATCTGCATCAACACTCATAATCTAATATTAGCAATGCTGTTAAGATACTGAACATTGAAGTTTATCTAAAATATGGGATTTTATTAACAAAGAAACTTAAAGTTGATTAATACTTCATGAAAGTGAAAAACCAAAATAATAATAAAGAGGAAAGACCCATAGTTCAAAATAACAAAAGAAACATGCAAGTTCAGTACCTGTAGTTTAAAATATGCTGTCTCAGCCATAGTCAAAAGCATGCTTTGAAAGCATACNCTTTGATGTTTAAAACTGCTTTACTTCTTTGTGGCATGGAATAAATTAACCTCACATTCTTGGGCAGTAATTTCATTCCTTACTAGATGTATGTTTTTGTCTAAATCTTTGAAACAAAAACATATTTTAAATTTAAATTATATTTTCACTTTATCCCCCTTTTTTTCTATGGGATTAAAGTCTAGTAAATTGCCAGACCAATCTAATATCTCTATTCCCATGTTTTCAAAATATGATATTTTCTTGGCTGTATGGGCAGAGGCATTTATTGATGTCTCAATCTTTACATGAAACTATAAAACAGATGTGCATTGTATTTTTTAATGATTCTACCTACAGTAGATTTGTGACATTCAATTAACTTGCTTATTTCTAAGTTGGAAATACCTTGTAAATGTTTTTGTATAATTAACTCTCTCACATCTTTTCCAATTGGTTTACAAATGGAGCCATGGCTAAATTTAAATGAATTTTAATTCTAGCAAGTTCAATATGCAAAATACTTCTGGTAATGCAAGTTAAAACACAATGATATGTTATAACAATTTGATAATTTTCTATATAACACAATTTTATATATTTAATGAAAGTTGAAGGACTTTTGTCTGTTTTCCTGTGTTGCAGGATTTTTGTTGTTTTTTACTTTTTTGTATTGCACTGTGAAAATAATTTCATAGCAACATGGTCTTTTAAAAGAAAGAGAATGTCTTTTTCTATTTCATTAATAATTGTTCTATTATTATTACGTTCTTGAAACCGTGTTGGTGATTATTTTTGTTGTTTTAAACACCGTATAGTGTAAATACACGAACACTAGGCAATCTTCATTTTAAATTGGAAAATTGAATAAATTTAAAATGAACATTGCCTAGTGTTCGTGTATTTACACAATTTGGTGTTTGAAACGACAAAAAATGTTGCTATTATATAAAAATCTAATCAAATTTATATTACAAAGTTATTGGAGCTCAAAAAAATTGCTTGTTGCAGGACTTTTGTCCCTTGGTTATGGTCTTTTAGGCAACTGCAATACAACATGAAGCATTCCAACTAAAAAACATTTCCCCCCCCATTGTTTTTGCTATAGACAGTAGAAGCATTTGGTCCAAAAAATATTTTTTTGCAATCTTTTGATAACTTGCATTCCTATTTTTTTCATAAGCTGAATTAATTTTAATAAAAATCTGAAAAAGTAATTATCACATGACTTCCCTAAATTAATGTTTTAAAAAAACTATTATTCCTGAGGAGAGAGAGAGATTGAAAATACAATGTCCGAAAAGTAGCAATCAAAGAAAAAATTGACTGACTTCTTGGTGATGGGAATTAATCTATTATGATTCAAGCTCACAGGTTACAGAATTAATTATAAAATTTAGCTGCTATTATGCCAAACAATTTTCTGTTTCTATGTTAGCGAAATTTCTGGTTTAACAGTATTTTATGTAGCATATTAATGACCTGCTAAATGAAAAATAGTGTATACTTTTACTTTTTTTTTAAAGTAAAATCATTAAGTGCAGCATTTAAAATTTCATTTGCCTGAAGATGATAAACATAAGTTCATTGAAAGTGCTAGAGAAAATAAAAAACTGT